ATTTTTTATTTTAGATTATTTACAACGATAAATCAAAAAAAGTAAGTATTTATTTATTAAAATAATTTTTATTTTTCATTTTAGATTGTTTCCAAGGATACATCAAAAAGTAGGTATTAATGTATTTAAATAATTTTTATTTTTTATTTTAGATTATTTACAACGTTAAATTGAATGGGATGGCACTGATTAATCTAACCGAATAGCCGAATTTTATTTTTATCATGCTGTTTCTATAATGTATCAGATAACTATGATTTTTTTACCAGTTATAGTACTCGTATGGTGCCATACAAGTACTATAACTGATAAAAAAATCATATTTACCTGATACATTATAGCAACAGTATGATAACACAGGAATTTAGCCATCCAATCAGACTAATCAGCTCAATCTATATTAAGTATTGCAAAATAAAAAGCTAATGAGTGCAGCATGGGTGCTGTACGTAATACCTGGTTTATCCATAGAAATCTAGTAGGATCTCGTCGGATCCTATACTTTCCAAGATCTTCCGACTGTCGGAAATCGTCGGATCCGACATCCGACAACTTCCGACTGGATTCCGCTACCAGGGATTCCGACAACTTCCGACACGGATCCTGTCGGAAGTTGTCGGAATTTATCGGATTAAGCCAGATTTCCGACAAGATCCGACGGGATCCGGGACCCAGAATACTCGTCCTGGGCAGTTGTTGGGCATGTATTCGGATGAAAATAATTATAAGGAGCAGGTGGTGCTTGTTTAGTTAAAAGCCCAATATTATGATTAGAAGCCGCTGTTGATTGAGGACCAAAAGCATAAGTAATAGTACCAACTGTTGTTGGATTAATTGATGAAGACTTTTTATTATTATTAGCAAATGTTGCATCTTGTTCACGTTTGATTCTTTTTGATGGTGTATTTGGTGGATTATTAATAGTACCAACTGTTGTTGGATTAACTGATGAAAACTTATTATTATTATTACCAAATGATGCATCTTGTTCACGTTTGATTTTTTTTGATGGTGTATTTGGTGGATTATTAATAGTACCAACTGTTCTTGGATTAATTGATGAAGACTTATTATTATTACCAAATGATGCATCTTGTTCATGTTTGATTCCTTTTAATGGTGTATTTGGTGGATTAAATACATATTCTTCGATAGTTGTACTAATAAAATTTGATAATTTTGAAATTAAATCATCGAGTTTGATTAATTTGCTAAAGTATTTTACATAAATATACATCAAAACAACTTGATACTTACGAATTAACTAAATATTCTGATACCGATTCCCAATGATGATACAATTGGTGATTAATCTGAATAGAAAACATTTTCATAAGAATTATATCCGTAAAAAATTACATCAAGTGTTAATTGATAACTATTCTCATATTCACTAAATGCATGCATTGTTGTTAATGATATCATGCCTTTTCGGTAACGGGCGACCAAAAGATTATAATTACGATCGTTAAATTGCAAAACCCCTTCCTAAAACTAAAATATATAAAATAAAAGGCAAAAAAAATTCCTACTGATCCTTCAATAGCATCCCGAACAATAAAACCCTGTTTCATTAAACAGTAATGTGTCGTAATAATAAATTTATCTAAATCATTTTTCATCTCATTTTTATAAAGCACAAAAAGTGATGATAAAATAATTGTGTCTCCCGACATAAATGGCATTGATTTTAAATCTTAAAAAAAAAAGAGATTTATTTACAAAAATGAAATAGAAATTATAATTATGATCAAAAAGAACTATATATGTTAATTAAAATGTTTCTTGTAAACGAATATTTTTATGAAGATCGAATTGATTAAATTTAGCAAATTTTACTGTTGATAATTTAATAAGAAAACGAACGGTTCTATCAGTATGATATTCTAATCAAGAAAAAAGAAAAGAATAAAATTATTTATTTGCAAATTGATATTTTACCTTTATAATAAAGAATGGTTGGTGCAATATCATTTCGTTTTGGATGAAGCATTGTTTCAAGAAGAGATTCTTTATATTGTTATGTCCATGTACCAATGGGTAAATCAGTTATTTCAATAGATGTTTCATCGAGTTTAGCACAAACATCATTAATAACACCACGTGTACGATCATTTACTAATAATTTTATTTTAACAGTAAAATTTTTCTACCATGGAATTAATTCTTCTAATGTAATTACATCTGGATATTTTTTTCAGTTGACTTGTTCGATTATTTAATTGTCGTTGTCGTTCACGTTCTTGTCGAATATAATATTTCATATTATTACTTAATATTAATGGATAATAAGATGGTATATCAGTTGAATAACCAGTCCCAACACCTTGTGCACCATTAACAAGAACAGTTCGAATAACTGGATCATACCATTCAGGTTCAATACTGATACCATCTTCATTTAAATATGATAATAATGGTTCATCATTTTTATTAAATGATGATAAAGCAAGAGGACTAAGTCGAGTAAATATATAAGGTGGCGAAGGTGCATCATTACCATCATGTAAGCGTGTACGAAATTGACCACTTAGTACAAGAAAATTAATATTATTTGCACCAAGAAAATTTTGTGCAAGACCAACAATTCTATTTGTTAATGATTGTTGACCATGATGATAAGCAGAATTTTCCGCAACTTTACCAGCTAATTGTGCAACTTTTATTTCATGTATGAATTTTTTTGTAAAACAAACAAAGATTATTTTACGTTGGCCAGGTTTAAGACCATCCTTTAAAAATAAGAATTTAAAGGAAAAAGAAGAGATTTTTATTTCTTATTAATTTACCAGAATACTTGGAATTGCATGTTCAATAGTTGATTTGGAAAAAAAGAACAAGTTCTTTATTAATAAAATCATTAAAATTAATTTGTTTTGTATCTTTTTTATATAAATAATCATCTAGTAAATTTTGTTCACGTCGTTGATTAATATCTTCTGTATGCCATTTAATCCAATTTTTAGGATCATCACTTAATGTACTATTAAATGCTAATTGTATAGCTAAATCATCTTTTATTGAATCATATTTAAATATAATATGATGACGATTCATATTAGAAAAATATTCTTTTGCTTCTTTAGCCAGTAGTGTCAAACTTGAAACTTGAATTCAATTGAGTTTTCAAGTTTCAAGTGAGTTTTCAATTTTCAATTTTCAATTTTCAAGTTTCAACTTTCAAGTTTCAAGTGAGTTTTCAAGTTTCAAGTTTCAACTTTCAACTTTCAAGTGAGTTTTCAATTTTTAAGTTTCAAGTTTCAAGTGAGTTTTCAATTTTCAATTTTCAATTTTCAAGTTTCAAGTTTCAACTTTCAATGAAAATATAAACATTTTGGAGATATAGATTCACTAGTGCAGATAATCTTTATATAGTGATTGACTTTGAATGCTGATCCATTCAGATATATATT